ATATGAGGAATTATCTAAAAGGATCAACATGATTAGAATTTTACTATTTTATTTGAAACCAGTTTCAATAAAGTAGAAAAACGATTTTTATCGATAACATATGAAGGTTGTGGATTAATATATTTTTCTAAGTTTTCAATTTTATTTCCAAGACTAACCATACCATATTTTTTCTACAACGTTTAACTACATTTTCAAGTAATTTTGCGAAGTAAGTTTTGTTCACACGTTTCGAAAGGTGCAATAGCCAATAAAACTTAAAATACTGTCCTTTCTGTATGTTAAAATCATAAATAATATTCAATGACCTTCAAAAAAGTTGACGACTAGTTACTACATCATCCTCAGAAACACGTAGAGTCGTGAACTTTTTGAAGACCATAGATAGGCCTAAATAAAATGTTTTTAATTGTGTACCAGTTTAACGTTGAATATTATTTATGATTTTAACTTTATACACAAGTGCCAAAATACTATAATTACTTTCTGTATGTGTTGTACGTTTGTAGAATATGCCTATGTCTGCTGCCAACGAAACGTATAATGTCCTGACATTGCATTGTAGATTATTACTGCACATCAAAAGAACGGCATTTTATCTAATAGAACAACAAAAAACAAAACAAAAAACTAGCCAGATTACCCATTCTTTGCACAGAGAAAGCGCAATCTTAAAAACTAAATGATATTCTTAATTACATAATAACGCATAAGTTCATTTAATATTTGTTTCTGTCTACACAATACACATTAACTCTGCAACAAATGACTTGTTTTGTTTTTTTTGTGTTTCAGTTCTTTTACAGGCCAAGAATTTGTCATGTTCTGTTAGGTGTTGGCCTGGTACGTCTCAAACCTTGGCTCTGGCATTGATATAAGCAAGCTATGTCCTAGATCAATTTATATTTGTATAATATTATGATTCTCTGACATAAATTTACAAGCAAACTTCGACAACTCTGAACGGAAATGGTTTTGAACTAGAAAATAAACTAGAAATTTGAGGTACACATTGATAAATTATTCAGTGTACGTTTATAAAAACAGCTATAGAATACTCCTATTTATACATGAATGGATTTCTATTACTAAAATGTGTGTGAAAATGGAATTTAATCGTCTTGACATCACTTTTCCACTAAATTTTTAGTTGTTGGTCAGGAAGTTGTGGGGTCGTGACATGAACATTGTTACGATAGCGGGGGTCACGTGACGCTAGTAACATGTCATGAACTTCTAGAAGGATCCTGTCCCTTCCTGAAGTCTCGAGAGGCTACTAGACATGCGGTATTCTTATATATATAAGACCGGTAAGCACTGACGGCAACAATATAATTGAACCGTGGACAGAGAGAGACATATTGTTGAGTCGAGCACGTGAGGCGTTCGTTGTGAATTATAGCGTTTGTTGTAGCGTGACTGT